AGGAAGACCAGGAACTCGTGGCGGCCGTGAACTGTTCCATTGCTTCTTCCTGGGGTGGAGGGACCCGCCGCCCGCCAGGGGAGCGTGCCTCGGGGAATGGGGAATGTGTGTGCGTGTTGAGGGTGGGGGTGGGCGCTGCATTGTTTGCAGGGCGAGTAGGGGTGGCCGTTCAGATAGGAAGGACGGGCTCTTTCCCCCCCTCCAACCCCCCACCCCCACCCCCTCCCAGGGCCTGGACTAGCCGGAGCATCAGCCCTTGCTGGGCGCGAGCGCGGTGAGAGGCTGGATGGGGCCAAACTCAGAAACGCCAAAAACCTGAAAGATGCTGTCATCGCCACCCCCATCCCCCCCGCCGGTCCCTGGCAGGTCCAGCCCCTCCCAGCCTGACCCAGATACATCCCTGTTTGGGTCCGGAAAGGGAGGGGAGGGAAACAAGCACCGCGCCACCCACGACTCGGGAAGAGCAGGGCTCTGCGCCAGGGCCGCTCCATATCGCTGGGCCGCGACCCAGGGGAAGTTCTGGTCGGTCTGTGCCGGTCGTGAGGGAGGGGTGAGGAGGGCGCGGGGCAGGAGAGGGTGGGGGTTGCATATCTACTCACAGCGTGTGCTCACGCTGGTGGTGGCGTGTAAAGCAGGGTGAGTGATGTGATAGGCACCGAACAGCAAGAAATAATCTCATTTACCTCTTTGCTTATGCTCACAAACCTCTTTCCTGGATGAAGTAGAAGAATAAGCTACAATTTACTTCCACTCTACTATGTCCTGTCTCTTGTAGTAAATCCAAACACTTGGGACATGTGGGAGAAATGAGTGGCCCCAGAGGAACCATAAGTTGCCCAAATTTCACTTTTACCGGCAAATAACATAGGGGTGTGGATGTGGATGTTGGGAAAGGTAGGCAGCTGTATGCTTCTGTCATGGACTGTAAGACCTGAAACTACCCAAAAAAGCTCCTCAATCTCCAAGTTCCACCCACCTCAGCACCTCCTGTGCTCTCAGCTAAGGGGAGTTAGAAATACAAGGAGTGTGGCCATCAGTTTAGAGGCCCTTCCTCTCCACCCAGGGAATTATTGAGTGGCCAGGACATCTGCCCTTCAGTTGTTGGTGAGGCCATTGAAATGACCTAAACCTGAAACAGACCTCCTGGAAAAAGAACGGACCATCCCCAAAACTAATTAAATCCACTTGAAAGGACTTCATCCTGGGGCAGGAGAAGTACCACATGACTTGCAGAGAAGGAATCAGCCTTGGGTAAAAGGCAAAAGCTGAAAAGTTCAAGAGAAGCTAAATCCAGATGTGAAAAAAAGGTCCACCCAAACACCCCTTCCTGACCTGTCTGGAGGCAGTCTGGACCAGATGACTTGTCTCTTCCAGATCTGTGATTATATTTCCCTTCATTCTCCACCCCTATTCACTTATGACCCATTATTAGCCTGTGCAACTATTCGTCCTGCATAGCAGGTCTGACTTTCCTCAGTCCTCATCTGTACCTGTCCTTCAGATGGACCCTTCACTTTGAAGACAGTGTGTTCAACTACTAGAGGAAGTTGGGAAATGCTCAAGAAAGTTAAGAGGAAAGAAAGTTATTGCAATTCTCATTTCTCTTGCAATAAAAACTACCACCCTAAAGAAGAGTTAATAAATAATGAAGTAAATTGCATATGACTTTAGCTATGCTATAGCAGATGATGAGGTAAAGAAAGGCAGGGTTCAGAGTGCCACTCCATCTATAGATGTCTGATTTTTTTATTCAATGAGAAATTTCAGAATTGACTGTAAAATTCATTTACAGTATACAGAACCAGATTCTCTTGCTGGAGATTAATGTTAGTTTGCTTATAACTTCAATATAGCATTGTAGCCAAATGAGTCAGTCTATTTTCTCAGTTAGATCCATTGTTTGTCTAATCTCCCAGGGCAGAGAGAGAACTAATTTACTACCAAACCATCTCCACCCTCTAAAAATGGAGAGTTACTTCTTCAACCAAATAGTCATTTGTGTTTCAGTCTGAACTGGCTTCTTCCTAAGGCAGTGACTCCTAATTTAGCTACTCACTAACCAATGATTCAAAGGTCTAGT